CCTTACCGGTCCCGGTCCCGGGCCGGTCCTTTGTCGGTCCCGGTCCCGGTCCCGGGCCGGTCCTTTGTCGGTCCCGGTCCCGGTCCTCCGGCGGTCCCGGGCCGGGCCGGGCCCATTTGGCCATCTCTAATCCAGATTAATAAAAAAAATCAGTTTTTTCTGTTCATTATGTGATTTGTATTTTTTTTTTTTTCATTTTGCTCCTCCATGCTTACATTTAATATTTATTATTTTGAATTTTTTTTAATAAGTGAATAATATTTATAAAGAACTGACACGTAAGCGTCAATGCCACGTGTATATGATCATACAATACAACCCAACGACCTCTTTAAATTGTTGTATATCTATAAATGAAATAATGTTTACTATCATTTTACTGTTGGAGGTTATCATTTTTTGGTCTAACTTGTTCTTTTTATTTAACGGGTCTAATATTGTAAACTTATGCTCTCTTTTTTTCCAGGTTTGACATTTGTCATTGCCCGTCCTGCAAACGGGTCGGACTTATCCATGGGCTAGCGGGCCTAAAAAATGTAACTCTTATAAATCTTTAAACTTGATCACTAGAAAATAGAAATTAATCAACAAACGTGGAACAAAAAAAAATGTAACTCTTATAAATATGTAAATCTGAAACGTCCAACTTGTAATCGAGAGTTTGGAATGAGGGAAGAGCAACACTGAATCATAGGACAATCGACGATATGAACAGGGGAGTGAGAGGGTGGGAACGACAATCTGGGAATATGGACGCTTCTGAATGGTTTTGGATGGCCTAATATGAGTAATCGTTCGGAGCCTTATTGAACGATTCAGAGTTGAATCTCTTAACGAGATCGTTAAGAGGTAAACAAACAACCGCTTAGCCTTTTAGGTTCTGAAGAATAACCAAAAAGTCTCATCATACAACTTTAGTAATTTAATTTTAAAATATACTAATATACTTTTAATTAATGGTAAAAATATATTTATTATAAAATATAAACGGCCCGAGCGGGCCTGTCCATATTTATTTTTATATTATCCATGTCCGCACGTTAATTTTAACGAACAAACTCGGGTCTGTTCATTTTCCCGATAATGATTGTTCAAACCCATAATTCTAGCGGACATATCGGGTCTAATGGGTCGTCCTGCCCGTGAACAACTCTATAATCAACCCTGCCATGAACGACAATTTATTATTAAATAGAAAAATAAAATAAACAAATGGGCTTTAATAGTGGGCCCAAAATATAAAGATTATAGTTGGGCTGACATAGAATAGATTAGTCTCTTTTCGTATGCTTTCAATCAATATTTGTGGTCCTATGTGAAATCAAATCAAATCAAATTCAAATAAACGAATCTAAGAATTCTATTTGAAATTAAGATTTAAAAAGATAAGATGTATACAAATTTAATATCTGTTTCAACTTGTAAAAAATGGAACGGATCCAGTTCATTAGATACGGTGTCACGGGTTGCTGTTATTAAAGAGGTTGAAAATCTCAATCCAACCTAACTCATTTAATTAAATGAATTGAGGGTTTTCAACCAAACCCAACATGTTACCTAAATGGGTTGACAGCGGGTTAACTTGTTTATGATTTTCTTATTCTCAACCTGTTAAATAAATGAGTTGAACCTGGGTTGACCCAAAGCCTCGCTTTTGCCAGCATGACAATAAGCATGGACTGGCAGCAAGGAGTCAACTGAATGACCAAAGTATCGGTTTAATTTTAAATAAAAAAACAACTAGACTAATTAATTTTTTGAATAAAACACAACACAACCACAAATGCAAATAAATTGTTCAAAATTTGAATAAAATTCAAACACAACATGTATATTGTTCAAAATAAATTGGAAAATGGAGTAATGGACTAAATGATTTTCTTAAGGTTTCATGGTAATTAAGAGTAATGGAGGCGATTGGAATTTAGGCTTTCATCTCATGACTGTAAGATTTTTAATTAAGAACAAAACAAAATTAAAAATTAAAATACTAGATATAATATTAAGAATAAAATAAAATTATATAATATTTTAAATGGGTTGAAAACATGTTGTAAATGGGTGAAACAAGGCAAAATTTAACTCAACCCAACCTAACCTAATCCAACCCATTTATGTAAATTGGGTTGAAAATCTCAACCCAGCCTGCTAATTCTAGGTTGGGTTGAGGTTTGGTTAATGGGTTGAGTCATTTTTTGTCATCC